TTTGCGAAAATCGATGTAGATCGCATCGAGTGCAACACGAATGGTAACACAAACGCGGCCTTGGTCGAGCCCAGATTCTCCCGGTGCCGAATTCCGACCTACGTTAAACGAAACGAATGGTCGCCCACGCTGCACCTCCACCTTCTCCATCGGTTCACCGAACCATTTCGAATATTCGGAACGATTACGTCACCACGACGCGTTCGTCAAAAGTGTAGGGGAAAGAAACAGGGCGAGATGGAATGGGAGTCGACCGACTGCGATTCAATTCGTTTCGTTAACGATCGGCCCATGCTTCCAATAAAGCTGTGACCCAAATTGCCGTCGATGGTTACACCGGCGTGGCTCGTTTATGAGACTGAAAGTGACGGGAATGCGACGAAATATGAAGAGGAGTCACCTACATCACGAACCGGGATGGAACACGAATAGGGATAGGATTGTTAACACTACGGCTACCGAGTTAATCAATTTGATCTATGTTTGTCGAATTTCTTTTTAATACTGCTCGATTACTAGCGATACGTTTGTTGTAATTTTTAGCGACAATTGAGCCGTTCACTACACAAATCCATTTCCACTTTTTGAAAAATCGTAAATTTTAGTGTCCAAGCACTTGGTGTAGTCATAACTTTTTATATTAAAAATAACTTGACTGAATAATGAGATTAACACCATTAAACGACAAACATTCTTACATCGAATTATTACTAATTATTATTATTATTTGTACATTATTTCATCGTATTTCCCAACTTTTTGTTTTATGGAGTTAATCGATTTGTCCAATGAACGCCTCAATTAAAATTAAAATTAATTATACTCATGAATTTATTCGTTTCAATTTGATGTTTCTATATGTTGGTTTGATTCATTTATTTCGAACTTCTTTTTGAGATTATTAAATCGTTAACATTGATTTTTATACACTCTTCTAGTCTATATTTTTTATTTATTAAAAAAGTTGGAATGAATGTTCATATTTGCAATTGTCACATGCTAACTATACTACTGTATTTGACAAATTCCACTCCAGTGGTATTATGGTGATAAATACGGTACGCTCTAGTTGTACCATATTTGTATCTATCACCAATAAAGTATTGAACAAAAATTCCGGTTTATATTTCAATGATCCTTATATATTTTTCAAAGTAGTAATTCAACTACAAACAATCCTAAGATCGAGCCTTCCGATGATATCTATGGGAAGAACCTATGGGTTGGGCCGATTGGAGGGCAAGTAGATTGACCGCGATGGCAACGGTGATCCTTTTGAACGAATCGTGGGTGTGACCGAGTCGAAATCAATCCTAACTCCATCGATAATCTCTAGCTTTGCGAGGGAAAAAGCGAAGAAACGGAATTTGACGTTGTTCTATCGGGCATCTCGGTTATATTGACTGCTTTTCCTGCGTGGATCCTGACACCGATTTCCTTTCTGCTATCGACACGTCGTGTTAAACCGCGTTGACGGCAGTCTTTCATTTCTGGCTTTTGTCTCTGACGGAATGTATCGAAATGGTGGTCGATGAACGTGATATGGAATGTTCTTCGCGCATTCGATAGATTTGGGGAAACGGTATCAGTGGTCTATGGTTACTTGAAAGCTTTTGACAACCCCTTTTAAACCTTCTCGGTACAAATCAATAGTGATGCCTAAAATAAAACATTTTCTAATTCAAAATACATTTCGCCTCATATAATTAAATCCTCGAGTAGAAACGAAGCTACATTCGTATCTATTATACATATGACGAGAATACTTCCATTGAAAAAAAAATGATAATTTTGTTGTTTTAGCGCACACATATCAAATGTATCGAATTTTGTATCGAATCGTATCGATACGTTAGTTGAAACTAATACATGGGAGAATCGAATGCAGAGAAGCTTCTTAGATTGTGGACCTTGCCCACCCCATTGGCACGACCTTTGATCTATTTCCGGACGACAGTGTGTCGTCACGATGAACCGCCGTTTCACCTCCGCTTGGCACCACGTATTTCCGGCGGCGTTAGTCAGCCGGGTTTAAATACACCGCATTAACTACTAGGTTTTCGTCTCTGTCCGATTCTCTTTCCTACCTGAACCCCTCTCGGCGATCCCTTCTTCCCCCGTTGCGTAGCCAAGTTGTATTTCTGACTGGTTCTCACCGACAGATCGAGGTTAATTGGCTACCATTAGGACGAAAATTAGCGCGAATTAGTCCCCGGACGATGAGTTCCGTCACTTGAATTACCGTTCGTCGGTTTCGGGCTATCAGTTAATTAATCGTACGCTGTGGCGTGCCGTTAGCTCGCAAACTTCCGAGGCCGCGTGAAAAAAAAAGAAGAAGAAAAAAACTAGTAAAAAGTTCAACGTATACCGCGAGTGTCGTTGCTCGAAGTACTTCATTAATCTTCTCGATACCCTCGCCATTTTCCAGTGGATCTGGAGATCCATTATAGCCGGACGTGAAAATCACCGCCGAGTCGCTCCATGCTAAATTGTAGAGCAGCGAGCAATGAATAGCGAGTAACTTTTCTCTCTGACATTTTCTCCTATCTTCGAACTGTATAGACATATCTAGGTGCTTTGCTTCTCGCGAGTCATTATTTATACAATATTTATATCTACACGTCAGCAAAATTCAAAATGTTAGTGCAAATGTTCCCTACTCAGCATGATGTGACCTTGACCATGAAGTGTTATTGTAACGAATAAACCGGCATAAGAGGACGCTTCGGTCTCCGTTTTCGATGGTCTTTTCTAATTCATCATAGTAGAAGACTCGCCGAGCCTCGCCACTGACCTCCGAGTAACCCGATCTAGTGCAGCAGCATTCTAGCAATTGCACCAAATTGGACGGTCGCGTTGTAATCTACTCTAATCTAACTTAATCGAGTGTCTCGTTCCATGCGGAGTACAAGAAGCGATTATTAATTAAGAAGACTTCTTGAAATTCTTCTACTCCCAGAAAGATATTGTAGGAGTGACCAAAATTTTTATGCGTAGGTGTGAGTCGCACATATTTTGGATAATACGGAAACAGTCAACTGTGAATCTGATAAGGGAAGTATACAAACTATAACTCGAGTTCCCGAGTGAAACTTAAAAGAGATGAAGATCGTCATTAAAGTAATGTACTGTGTTCAAAATTAAAGGCGATCTCGTCCGCTAGACGTTGCTGGGTTTAAAAGAGTTTTTAAAGTGGAACTTTTTATCGCTCGTTAGAATAAATTTTACGAATTTCAGCGAATCTAAACGAATTACAAAAATTAAAATTAGTATAGAATAATTTTGTTCTCGATGAAGCACGTGGCACAAGAGCGTAACATGTACGCGTGGTATGTTAGGAGAATGCACGGCGACTGAAGAGCCAGTCAGTACGGTAGTTATTATGCTACATTGTGTCGTTAACCTTTTTCTGACATCTAAATGAATCTGTTATGGAATACACTCTACACAACAGAAGATCATGCATAACGAAGAGTTACGAGTAGAGATTAGTGGATTCAGAGCAGATAATAAAAAGTAATGAGCGGATACCAGTGACCAGATGTAGCGAGTAATAAGTGAAATACTGGTCTTGAACTATTTCAAGCTTACGGCTCACAATCAGTTTCGTTATCTACTTAAGTGTATGACACAGTTTCTAGTAGTTCAGAAAATAATTGTTTAAGATTCAGTAGAAAGAGCTTGAGTCGAAATTAAATCTTTCGCAGAAAGAGCAAATTATTATTTATAACAATGTGGACAATCATATAATTTATGGTGGAATGGGTCTAGACTCCACTAGAGGATTGCCAAAGTAAAAATGTTCGCTTTAATGTGATAAAAAGCAAGATTTAATAAATATAAGACATGATAAAATACGCTCTTAGTTAACGGCTACGTGTTGATTTATCGGTCATATTAAAATCAACGTTTTCATTTTGGTGATCTTGTAGACCCATTCCAACAATTGGAATATCAAAGTCAAAGTAATAAACAGTGAATAGCGAGTAATAAGAAGAGAATAGTAACTACAGGAGAGTAAGTAAAGAATAACAAGTAAAAAGCAGTAAGTAAAGAATAGAGAGTCAACCTTAGACAGCAGAGTAACAAATAAAGGGTAGAGAATAATAAAAGTATAACATATACAGTGGGTGTAGAATGTATTCGTACACAGATCAATTTCCCAAAAAAATTTTGTGTGAAATTGTAGATTCTTAACTTCCTGTTTTATAATCAATGATATTTTACATATTCTCGGAAGTCTCTAAGATAGATATAGTCCAAACAACATTTACTAGTTAATATAATTTGTGAAATTAACAAAAACATGCGAAAAGTGGGTGACAATATAGAAGCAATAAGTATTTGTACGATTCTTATGACGAACCATTACAAACAGTAGAGTTTGTAACGTAAACACATTAGTTTATTGCTCCGTACGAATTAGAAAACATCAAATTTTCAGTAAAGTACTTTTAAAAATGGCTCTAATAGAGGAATTGAAGAAGATCCTACTTCGAATAAGTAATAATTTAGTTAATTTAATGCTTAGAAAAGTTACAATAATTATAAAATCAAAAGGAAATCCCACGAAGGAAGTATTATATACTTATAAATTAATGTAAATTTCTTTCTTTTTTATTCAAGTGTTAAAAATTAAACAGTTGTGCGAATACTTATTGCTTCAACATTTCTATCGATAAATTGTTTTTTTCTTGTTAATTTTGCAATTTACATAAATAGCTATTTTTTTTTGTAATCTATCTATTCTAGAGATTTCCGAGAATATGTTGAATGTCATTGTTTAGAAAAAATAAGTTAATAAATTACAATTTTGCATAGTTTTTTTGGAAATTGATCGGTGTACGAATACTTTCTACACCCACTGTAGATTTGAAACGAAAGCGTAGAGAGTAATAATAAGTGAGTCGAGTGCAAGAGTTGTACTAAGTATAAAGTACAGAATGGAAGAGAGAAAATAGAGAGCAAAAGGTAGAAAGTAAAATGACCTAATCGCTCACCGTCATCGCTGATTTCGAGATTCGTGTAGCTGTCCCAATGCAGTATGGGATCGTGGTGGGCCGATGCGTGTGGCACAGCGGGCGTCGGCGCCGGCACCGGGCCATCTTGACGCTTGGCGTCGGTGGCAAAGTAGAGGGTCACCACGCTGTCGGGTGGACATCGAGGATCGTCACAGGCAACGTCCAGCTCCGATCGGGGAAAGGACACCACGTTCTCCGTGATTACGCAGGTGTGGAACTGCAGGAACAACGAGTACCGATCTATCATGATACGCCGTCTAACGATCGTGTTTTATGTAATCGCGATGCCCCCAGCGGTTTCCTTGATTTCGCGGGTAACGAGACTCAGAAGAGCGATAGCATCTTGGTAATTACATGCTACTTAAATTCCAGGGCAATAGATCTTTCAAACTTTTTCATATCGATAAAGTAATGCACGAGCACAGGCAACGGTTGTTATTAGACTCGAAATACGGTTGCGATATGTGTGGTTAGTTACCATGAAAGCACGAGGGTTTGTATCTCTGGCCAATTGAGTTATTTAGGTCGTCGACGGATTTCATCTTCTTAAGGTTAATGCTCGATAATAGCTATCGCCTACGTTACGTTGTACTTAAACGAAGATCGCCCAGTCAAAGGTTAAGAGTTTAATTGCCAAAGGAACTCGTCTTACCTGAAGAGAGAACATCACTTCTCGACTTTGCTTCGAATACACCCTGTGGTAACATTTCACCAGTATGTCTCCCCTCAGACGAAGACCCCCGAGATTAACCGTGAACTCTCGAGCATTCGTTACGGAGTAAAGGTCTGAAGTGTAGACGGGTGTTAGTCCTTCGTAGACCTTGAGGAACGCTCGACAGCCCGTAGGCTCGAAGAGCGGCACACCGAGGACCGTAAGATGCGTTAAATAGAGAGGCGACTGGCTGATTCTTAAAGATCCCGAGAGCAGCCCGCTGAAATACTTGATGTACCTGCGAAAAGAAAAACAAGTCTTGCAATTCATGTTTATAACAAAATGAAGGAAATGTTTACATGTTCTACAGGTGTCAGTAATTAGACCGTGATCATTCATTCTTAGAATTTTCAAAACATCCGTAAAAGCGATGGTAGCAGAGTTGAGCAAGCTTTCATTCGAACATTATTCATTGAATAAACAAGAAACATTGCGTAGCGATCTGTTCGCAACACATATTCAATGATGAGTTCAATGTATAACATGACTTGACTTCGTAATTCAAATTGTAATTTTGCTGAATAAATAACAAATCGAAAATCCCGTAATCTCTTATCTAGACAAACATTTGTCCCGTCGCTATATATTTATTTACATTTTAAGCAAGATTTTCCCTGCAACCAGACCTCTATGATATTTTTACTTTTTATTTATGTTTTTTCCAATAAAATGATGATAATGCAATTTTGTTCGATGCTCTCATTGTTCGTCGTTTTCATAGAAGTGGTGCCTAGTATAGAAAACCGTGTTTCACGAAAGCGCCACGTGACACGTGCAGCTATTAGCGCTTAAGCGATGCTTCCCAGGAAACGCATTATTTACATTATACGGGTCAAGGGGAAATAAACTGTTTTTTTTGTGCTAGCATCTACTTTCATGAGCAAAACAACGTCGAGTCGTCATTCACTTACATCACGCGATATACCCGGGGGAACAAAAAACACGAGTCAGGCCGTGACGTTCAAGTGTTAATTTGTGTCTGGTCACGAACGGCCTTTTCTACTTCTCACGCGTCCAGCCTTATTGGGCGCCCGTCGTTGTGCGCCACGGGCCGTGTGAAAATATTAGAAAATCGCCTGCGAAACGTTCAAGGAGCATCTTGGATGGTAACGCTCCAAGATAAATTCGTGCCTGATCACGAATGGAATTTTCTACTTCTCACGAGCCAAAACCGTGTTCGGTATTGTGTCAATAGCGATGGGACTGACAATTAGACATGTGTAGATACTATTAATACTAATGGCACCGAGATCAGAAGTTAATTGTTTTAGACGAAAATTTCCTATTCTGCTATTTTTCAGGTATTTTATTAGATACTTTATTTAAATTTAAATTTATTTATGGGATATTACACACATATTAAATCATATTTTACGAATATACACAATTTATTCTTGATGAAAATAAGCAAAATTAAATGTAGTACAAGTGATCTTGTAGAGTCCCTCTAGAATAAAAGTATCTTTAATGTGTATTTCGAGGATTTCAAGTCTTAAAAAATAATTTTAAAAAATATGATTAAGGGGAAACCACGTTCGAAGGTTTTCATATCAGATAGGTATACTCAGATACCGTTCTCTTTAGACGTTCTCTCTAATATCGTTAGTTTTTCAAATCCACTAAAATGCTTTGACAGAGATATATTTAAAGATTTGCATTTTCAGATAATGCCATAAAATATGACTTTAAGGGAGGTAAATATTGTTATTCTAAAAATTTATATTACTCTGTACATGAAATGTTCTAATGTTTAAAAACTTAATCTTTGAAAGACAAAATATGTTGCAAAAGAAATACAAACGATCATTCTACGATTGTTCGTTTTGAAAGTTAGACAAACAGAAGCAGATAGACGAAAATTGTATATCCGTATGAATGTCAATCTATTTGATACAAAATTACGTTCTTTTATTCAGTTCGACAAATTAATAATAGTTTGCAGATTATTTGTGTCACGATAGATTCGTGGCAAATTGATTCTCTTGTGTCGATCCATTAAACGAAATGATTACAAATTGATTGAGAGACACCACTGACGTATCGACATATATCAATTACATCAAATTTGATACCTATTTACAGGTCACATTAGAAATGAAACAAGCGATGGTGGTGCGGTCAATGCCAACTGACCAATAATAAAGATTTATTATTAGACGGTTGACCTGACAACTACTGTTCGAAAACACCTACAATACCTAAATGAAAGGCTATCAAATATTTACAACCTGTTATTTTAAAGTTCGGAATTTGGAACTCCGAGAACTTGTTAATTTGTTATTTATCACTATGAAGGAAAACGATTTCTGATAATACATTATTCACTAGAATAATAAATTACAAAATTCCCCCTTCTAATTCGACTTCTAAAAATGAAAACATCGAATGTTAAAAGAATTTGAGATGGGTATAAACGATCCAATTTGAAGAATATGTTAGTACAAATAACACAGTAGACGGGCGGAGAATTAAAAATATATTCTGACAGATTTGTTCCAAGATTCGAAAGAAGGAATGCCTCTTCGGAATGTTAAAGACAGTCAAATCAATTAAGAACACTGTGTAAACCACTAATAAATGTCCGCATACGTGCGGATACTTAACAACAATTCTCTTCTCTGTTAAATTAGATATGCACTTCCAGATAATAAGCGTTGCCTTCTCTTGTCACACGGTGCATTTCATAACCAGATGTGTAGTTACCTGCTGTAACCACCGCATGTACAAGTCGCCATAAATCCTCACCGCGAATTTCACATTTGTTGAACGGCTATGGTCATTTGCGGTACTGAGCGAACGCGTTCCATCATGTCTCGTAGTTGTTGCCAATCATTTTCTACATTTTAGCTCTCGATAATTCGCTGCTAAATATGCCCATGCAATTACAGTTATTGTATCTGCTTCTGCGGTTGGAAGTTTGGTTAGAGAGTTCCCCATTATTCGTTCTACTATTACAAGTTGAAAATCTTCATTCGTTAGAACACAATAATGTAATGCTATTGCAAGTTGAAGTCGAGTAAAACACTCGGTCTGCCTAACATAAATGTTCTCGAGAAACGGGAATGGCATTTGTTAAAAAATCTCGAGAATTCTTAGGAAGAAATTCCTCCGCACAATCGCTAGATACGTTTTCCTTTAACGCGTCGTGCAAGTATGACGCACCACCGTTTTCACCGCAATTTTGCTACGAATCATGTTCATAGTGTATCAATCACTCAGTCTAAACCATTGCCCTCTTTCTTTCCTTCTACATCACAGAAATTCTAGATAATCCCGTCGAAATAGCTTCTCCCGTCATCGATCAAACGAAAGTTCATCTTGAAAGTTAACGATCGGTGTTCCCCGCAGTGTCGATTAATGCCTGGCTTGTAATACATACGGCAAACACGAAAGAGTGGACAGAAAAACCACAGTTGCCCAAGTACCTGTCCATTATGCAGCATCGTGAGCGTTTACGACCATAATTTCGCGGGTCCCTCACGAATCCTTGCGTGTCGATCGTAGCCTATCATTTTAGGGTGTCACATTTTTGTTCTCGCTGTAACTCTTTCAATGGGACCATTACTGGACTTTCTTAAAGGGTATAAACTACCATTTTATATATAATATAAAAAAATGTCTGAGACTGAGGTTTGGCAGTGTTAATCATTCATATATTAATACCTTATAGAAAGTATACACTCCCGCTTAAAAGTATGTAGACACTTCCTTACTTTTAATAACTTTGTAACTTGGATACAATTAATTTCTTCATTGTATCCAAAGTAATATTATTTCATTTATTTTGTAATATTTCGTCATAAATGTTTTTGCCATATTGGACATCCTTTCTGAACTTTTCTAACAAAACGATCACATAGTTCCACTATAAAATTGAATATGGCATTCGAAATATTTAATATTATTAAATTAAAAACATTGAAAGAACACGTCCCAAACGGAAAAAGTGCTTGCTCACTTAGGTGAGACCACACGTATCCACAAAGGGTTAACCATGATACAAGAATGAGACAAAAATAAACGTACATCTCTTCGCGTCCAAAGAGATTGCCCCTGAATGAATGGAACCCACCGTGACGTCAATGACAAACTGTCCGCTGTCGCCTACTCGACCGCGTGATCTTGTCTCATGTGAAGCGGTGTAACATTGTCAATTTTCGAGATATCGACGCAAAATTTTCAAGATATATTCTTAAAATCTGTAACCTATCAAACACATAAGAAGTTGAAATAAATTGTTTAACACATCTGGAAAACGTAACCGCTTAACTGGTTCCGTCAATTTTCTAACGAGTCGTGTTCCCCCCGCGGTGTCGATTAATTCCAGGCTTGTAATACACACGGCAAACACGGAAGAGTGGACAGAACGGCCAGGTTACCCAAGTACCTGTCGATTATGCAGCATCGTGAGCGTTCACGGCCGTAATTTCGCGGGCTCCCTCACGAATCCTCGCGTGTCGCTCGTAACGAAGCCCGATACGATCGCGGCGGCGTTGCCCGATCCGCCTAATGAAAAAACCTGTTCCCAGTGGCACCTAAAGTGTGCGCACGTTATGCGCGCGACGTTCGACGTGGCTGGCCCGTACATCGTCGATAATGGATTCATACGTTCGCGAGAGCGCAGCCACGCTAACGACATGCTAATGCTCGCTGCTCGTGGAATTAATGGGGAAACTCGATCGGTTCGGATGCGACCGGGTGAACGAGGAAGACGAGCAACGGCGATTACCCGAAAGGAATCTTCCGCGTGTAAGACCACGAGGCACGACGATGGATCGTTACGATCGTCGATGCGCCCATCAAACGACAAATTTTTAAACATGAACGCTGGCTACGGATCGGCAGCCATGTAATGCATACCACGCGATCGTCTAAAATGGACTGACAAGGTAGACGTTCAAACTCTTTATCTTTTATCGGTTATTTATAGCCGCATCAACCACTTCACGGGCTTACCAGCGACTCACGTTCGAACTTGTCATGGAAATATTATTCCTATTTACAGTTATATGTAGTATATTACCAGTATAGTCTATATTATATTTATATTTATCGACTCTTTGTGTTTATTTGTATTATATTGTAATATTAAGAAAATCTTTCAATGAATGCTCAGTATACTTTAATTTTTTAAACATGATAAGTAAGAATATTATTTATTGCATGTTTTGCTGCATAATAAGAAGGCAATACTGTAAAATATCGTATTATATCTTGCATTCATTACATAGAACTCAGACTCCTTGTACTTATCTTTGTATTGTATCATATTGTACTATTAAGGATATTTTCAATAAATGGACAATTATATATTTATTTGTAAACGTTATAAATAAGAATATTATTTATGTTATGTTTTGTTGCTAAATAATTAAAAAAAATACTCTCTATGTATATTGTACTTACTACATAGACCCACTAAATCTCTATCCTATATTTTGCAGCTCTGTGCTACATCAGGTGGGTCTTCATCTTTTGATTTAATCATTTTGCAATACTTCTTTAAATTATTTTAAAGTAACATCTAAAAGTAAAATCGTTAGCACTGCTTAAGAATATTGAATATATTTCTCATTTGTTCAGACCTCGAATAAAAGTATGCGTTCGTTGATTTATGTTTCTTCGAGGAAAAAAAGAGAACACTGGTTTCAGGTAAATCTTCCATGAGCGAAGCCACAAGGCAAGACGGTGGATCGTTACGATCATCGATGCGCGTGTCAAACATCGAAAACTTGAGCATGAACGGAGCACTCTGACTATGGATCGACAGCCATGTAATACGTACCACGCGATCGGCTGGAATGGATAGCCAAGGTTGACAGGTCTGCCTACGGGGCTTATGTTTATGGGGTTATTTCTCCGCGATTTGTAGGCGGTCTCTGACTGGTCTGCTTCGTCCCGGTTCATCGCTTCCGATACACGTCGCGGTTCTAGCATCGCAAAAACGATACAAATTGCAGAGTACCGGTTAGAGATGGGCAAAACTCTTATCTGGATAAGAATTTCGAATACAAAATAAACCACTGTCTTATCCATTCCTCAACAAGTAGACAATAAAATTTTAATTGTATTGTAATTGAGTATATTAAGGGAGTCAACATTGCCTTTACAATTAGAACGATTTCGATTTGCGATGATATATTCGACAGGTTATAAAAAAAGACTAATTTGTGTTAAGTTTCAAGTCCCTATCTCGACTGACGTCTCTATTGCATGAGAAATTTTGAAACAAATCAGAGATATTTCAGTTAGCGAGCTACACTCAGGAATCACGGAACTGCGATTACATAATTAGAGGAAGTGTATATTATTGTTATTATTATCCTCAATTTTTTCATAATTGTGAGTGTATTACACTATTACACAATTCAGTGTATTACACTAACTTGCATGCGCAATTTTTGTATACTTTTTATAATAATTCTCAGTGTATTGATATTGATCAATAAAATTTAATAAAATTAATAAAAAACCACAGAAATTTTCTAGTAACGGTATAATGACTATGTGAGAGAGGTGAGAAACTATCGTGAAATGAGACAGATTATCTTTTCTTGTGACACTTAAGAGTATGTTTCATATATTAATTTGAGAAATAGAAGTATAAATGGCACAAACTTTTGGGACGACCTAATACTTAACTTGTACAACGTACACATTGTAAAATACCTTCAGAACTATCTACGTTATTCTTAATGGCAGCGTCCGTAGTTCTTAGTGGTAGGTCACTTCTTAATTTTTTAGTTTTCTTGTTACTTTACCTATTTTTTCGTAAATTTTTTAAAAACCAATTTTTAGTAAAAATGCAATAGAAATTGTGTCGTTATCGTTAATCCTCATCGTTGTCTTCGTTGATGAGAAATGTCACTTCTTCAATGTTAACCATTTTTTTGAGTACTTTTGCAAGCCTTACAATTTTTTGCTAGATACTGAGCATGCGATAAGTAATAAACAATTGCTGCTACGTATGAGCAACAACCAATTGTACGATTACCATCAGCACAATCGCAAAATATCTTCTAATACCTGTGTAGTATTGAATTTGGCGTGTAGTCAATGTAACAACTATTGGTTTTACTGCTATTGTGACGTGATTTTAGTTCGAATTTAACTATAAATCCACCCAAATGGATCTTCTATTGAGTCAATTGTTTTCGAATAAAAAATTGTTGAATATAGCTATGATTTTCACGCGTCCAAGGTTCTGACCCCCTCTTCTCCCCTTAAGATTATACAATATTTTACAAAATTTCTTCAATGAAGTCTCTCAACTTTATGCTTATCTTGAAATGTAATAAAAGTGAAAACGTATTTGCATATAAAGAAACATATGTTTCGAATAGTAACGAAAATTAATAATAGGGTAAGTATGTAATTGACGTCGAGTAAAAAAAATGCAAGGACTACAAATTCCAGGAAGTATCTTTGGAACTTTTTTACATGAAATTTCTACATTCAATGCATTTCTGCGTTATCCTACATTTTCGATTTATTTCCAGATCAAGGGTGCGTTTCACGGTTACATTAAATATTACGGAACACTATTTATCAAGGAAATCTGTGTACACAGGAAGACGACGTTGTCACGTTCAACACGTAACCCAGATGGTACGTACTCAAGGTCGTGTAATACCCTTGAAATGGACATCTACTACGGGATTTACGAGACTGTTATATGACCGCTTTATTTACGATACGATACTAGAACTTAGCTCCAGTTTTCTTAAGCGCAGCAAATAGACGTTAGAAGCAGCTTCGACTACAGCAGATATTTCCATCTCGCTTAACAAATACTAGTACTGAATATCGAGAAGCTAAAGTCTATAGAAATACTACTCGAAGTGCTTGTAAATTTTAACTAATAAAGATAAATGACGACATTGATACATCCTGTTATTTCGAAGGGTAAATATAAATTAGAGAAATGGCAAAAGTTAGTTACATCACGGCATTGACATAAATCTGGTAACGAGCGTAACAGCTATATGTGGCTGTAAACTTAACGCTCGTAGCGACGAATGGTCAAGGTTGATATTGCAGTATCTGCCTCATTAATACGACCTATTCTATTCGTGAGAACTGTTACACAATTTCGCCATAGAAGACGGTATATGACGCGCAATTTCCGCGACAGAGATCTATCAATTTCGAATAGTCCAGCCTACCGATAAAACTGATATACATACGTATGGGCTGTTATATTTGACAATGAAATAAGTTTATTTTTTCATGTATCGAAGTATTTAATAGTTTGCATTTGAATTAATTTAAAAATATTGGCAAACGCTAATCACTTCGAAGAATGTTTATAACACTATACAACTTTTCAATTTTATTATGAAATAGTAATTATTAAAATTATTTAAAAAATAAACGATATTTTTAGATCTAAATGGACTTGTATTAAGATATTATAACAAATAAAAACAAGCGGTAATTTAAGTCTATATTTTTATAGAGATTAGCTTCACTGAAATAGATTTTTTAATGTAAAAAAAAATAATTAAAACGAAGACACGTAAATTCACGAATAACCAAGTTTATTAAGAATTAATTTTACTTATATTAAAAAGATGATATAAACGAGTGTCAAATGTAAATTACTTCGTTAAGATAACTAATAATAGGAACAAATTTAATTTTAATCTTATTTCTCCTTTACAGTTAACATAATGAAGTTGTAATAGTCAATAATAATAGCAATAAGAAAGTTCTTTTAATAATAATTATTAGGAATGGACTTATTCCACTTACAAAAATATTTTTGCGACAACATTTTATAGCCAAAATACGTTTGTTTATTTTAAGAAAAAATCGTACTCCATTGAATATATAATTATAAATATGAAAAGAAGGTATCTATATCGTACTAAAATTATCGTTAATTTATTTCTTTTTTATAAAGTGTTAAAGTGGTATTCCATTTTCAAATATAACAGCTCATATTCGAAAAAGTGTATTTAACTAGAATAAATTATTTCTGCGATGTGGAGTATGATAAATGTCAACGTGCATACATGAGTACATTCATGCATTTATAATATTGTTAATACCTCGCGTATAAACGAATTTCTGTTCCAAGTTTTATAATATTTTTATGAACCATTCCTGATATACGGGGTGATCGCGAAAGTACTAGCCAGTATTTTTCTTGCAAATAATAAGTATTTGACTAAAATGATAGAGAAACGAGGTTTGTAGTTTTCTACGATCAATGTAACGGCACGATTCAATTTTTTTGTATTTGTAATATTTTTGAAGAAACAACAGTGTCAGTTAATTTTTTTAATGAAACGATGTATATCTCTCTTATGTAATACGAAAGCGTGTATCAAGACGAATCATACCTGCGCGATACAATAATCTTTAAAGTCCTACAAAATCAGAAATGAAAGAAATAGTTTGAATATCCGACAAAATTACCAAACTGCCAAAAATGTAATCTATAGAGCTGACTAAGTAAAGAATAATTCTAAACAAAAACGAAATATTCGAATTATTTCTTTCATTTCTGACTTTGTAGGACCTTGAAGATCATGGGATTGCACGGGTATGAATTCGTCTTTGTACACGCTTTCATATTAAATAGAAAAATATACAGCATTCCATTAAAAAAATTAAATATCACCTGTATTTCTTCAAAAATATTTCAAATACAAAAAATTGATACATACCATTACGTTGATAGTAGAAAACTACAAAACTTTACTCTCTGCGAGTTTATTCTAATCCTTTATTTACGAGAAAAACGCTGGTTAGTATTTTCGTGAATTCCCCATATAAAGCAAGATAGAAGTCAACGTACTTATTATTAGACACATCTACAACGGAGGTTAATTCTCGCCCCCTAGTATAACTTCCTCGCTGTTATATTTAATAACATCCAGGAAAACAAAAGCAGCGATTCCAACAATGAACAACGATCTCTTTCTGTGATATCCTTGGTCGTACTTGTTAATTATGACATAAGAATTTACATAACGCGGAAGAGAGGGAAGTTCCACCGAATTACGCTGATTTGTTGGTGAACGAATGACGACAGGCTCATAGCTTTGAAATAGGAACTGGAGAATGACGTTATTAATTATCCATAACACTCCCTATGAAAGAGCCACGCCCGTGGATACAGTCGCGGTATTATCTGTGTAACTTGCGGCGAATCGGCGATAAAATGAATTTTATCGTTGACCGTCAACAAGCAGTAACGTCATGCACCAAAGTTATTACCTTCGATGGGACGGAACCTGCAGGGATCCAATCTTGTCGTCGAGGAATGTCCTCATCGCGAACCTGTCCAGCTCCTGATCGCGTCCTCCGCAGATGCTGCTGTAATTCATGTACGCGGAGACTGCCACACCCAATCGTTCCTTGCTTCCCCTGAGGAATTTCAACGTCTTCTTAAACCCTTTCCGGGCTAACAAGGAGAACTCCCTACGCGCAACTCTTAACGTATAACAAGCTCCTGCAGAGCGACAGTGCTTGAAATACCGGAGCCATTGATATATAGTTTCGAGGGCGTACGGTTAATCGTTTCTACGTTATTTAAAGTTAAAGATTAGTTATGGATTTATCTTCTGAAGTGTGACTCTCGGTATCTTCGGAGTCGTATGTAATTGGCTTCAATATTTCAGGCACTATTACCGTAGACAAACTTGTTGAACAATTTAAAATACAGTCGTTAATCAATTTATTAAATGCACCGAAAAAGTCAGAGGCTTTCCGTTCTAACGATAATATTAAATGAAATGTGTGCTCGTAACTAACATTTTGGTACCTTACCTACAGGTCCATTTAGAAAGAGTTCGCGTCTTAGAAAAGAATTTTCTACACTGATACATATCAATCTATACTGACATTAACTTGTGGATATTGTTACCAAGCATATCAAAAGTCTTGTTCTGTTTCCACAATTCGAACATTGTGAGCAGACTAATCATATAGTTAATAAATTTCAGGAGGTAATCGATCTGCGTGGTTTTTCAGTTATTTCCGATAATTTAACGAAAAAAATGATTGAAATAAGAGCTAATTAATTTTCAGTCGGCTACACATTTCAATGTAAACAAATTTTCAAATAAACATTTTTTCCATAAAAAGTCACGGTCACTTTATCTTAGTTCAATAGCACTGTTCAATTTGGATTACCTTACGTTGTAGATGGTAAAAAGACGAGTTCAATGATTAACGATACTCTGCCTTTGACGTGTTCATCGATTGAGAAATATGAGTTAACCTTTACTTTTTATGGGAAAAACTAATTATAGAGGAATCTAATTAACTTTTGTTTGAAACATTTTTACATCAAATTATCGGAAATGTCTGCAAAATCGTGCGGACTATTACGATGGACACCCTGTATACCGAACAGTTTTTTACAAAGTTTCCAAGAACCTGTATTTTCATCGGAGTTTGCAATTATATGATCACGACTGCACACATAAGGTGTTTTCTTCGAATTTTTGGGAAACAGACTCACCTGGCATGGAGAACAACCACGCGATTTGAAGCACCGTTCAGCCAGGAGTCCAGCTCCTTGCATAAGGCGCAGAGTCTCTCCAAACTTGGCGCCAACCCCTGTGGCCAGCCTGCTTCTCTGGTGTTCGGCTCTCCTGGGCGACCAGGCGACGACAAATTGAAAATCTGCAAATCAAAAACAACAAAGATATGATCGAACTGTACGGTAAAAGTAATGTAGGAAAAGCTTACTATAGTTGCACCATTTTCAATATTATTATAAATTATAATATACCTAACAAAGAAATTGAAACCATTTACGGGTTGCTTAACCCTTTGAGCGCGGATGAATTTTTGCTGGAAGTTCTAAGAGGCATAGAGCTATGAATTTAAAAAAAAATATCTTCTTATAAGGAATGATAAGACGGAACTTGTTTATAGTTCCAATTTAGTCAAAGAACGTTTAGTTTCAAAAATAAAAATTAAAAACTTAGGAAACCTTTTTCCTAAGATCTCGTAATGGTCTAATCCTGTTGTTGTTGTCGTAAAGGAAACAAAAACAACAGTCGAACAATCGAATTTAATAATAATGTCACCTTATAAAGAATATTAAAATAAATTATTTTCATATTTACAGTGTATTCATACGACGTTTAATTTCAGAGATAAAAATTGAAACTTCAGAAGACCTTTTCTCTGATATTCAATGTTTACAGCGAACTTCTAACTTTTTAATTTTTATTTTCGAAACTAAGCGTCCTATGAATAAACTGTAAATGTACAAAAATTTCGTATCATCATTTCCTATAAGCTGATATTTTTTTAAAATTGATATAATTATGAATATATACATTTCTCTGAGTCCATTTCTCGAGGGCTTATATACATACATATGCCCTTCGCAGCCAAAGGGTTAATTTTGACCAAAAATATCCTAAATTAGATCATAACGTCATAGATGACATGTGAAGTTTCATATTTGAATAATCGTACTAAGAGTACTGCGCCATAAATATACAGTAGCTTTAGTTAATTAGATACAATACACAACGTATGCAAGTTATTTATGAAATTGAAAAAAGTTAGTTCCTTAGATAACAACGATTAAAAGTCGTAATAAAATGCTTGCAGGTACGATTGGCTACCGAATGTGATTCAATTGAATTCAAACGATTTCTCCCATGTTAGTTTACAATTTCTGTTCAATTTTCATGTGATTTAAATTTTTAGCGTCCCTCGTGTATCGTAAACATTCGATTGCATTTAATGTAACCTACGTGCGCAATTCAGTTAGAAATCAGCCGGAGGCATTTGGACGTGCATGACAGCCTATGATGTGGTATGTAAATGCGTGTGTGACATCTAACGAAGGCCACACTATTGTGAAATCATGCGGTAACTTGGGTTTTGCACAGAGAGGCCGTGTTGCTTGAACAAAAGGCTTGTAGGCTGAGGTGTGGAAAACATAAATAAATATTATGGCAGTACTTTCTAATCACTCTATATATTACATGCACAATTGTCATTTTATTTATATCGCATAGAAATTATTGGCTAACGATAATCAATGATAGAGTAATTTATACTTTGTTATATTTGTAGAGCTTGCATTCCAATTGATCCAAATGAAATTCATCGTGCAATATTCTCTATATTAAAACATTTTACAAAATGCATCCAAGTTTAAGATCATCATTGTGAACACTTGCTATAGCATGAAGTACCCAAATAAGAAAATTAATGAAATATTTGAAGAGTGTGAGACCTTGAATGACCTTCAATCACAGATCATTATATTTGTCTTGAAATCCTCTAGCAGATAGATGTAAAAAATTATATATTCATTTGCAGAAAAATCAAGGTGATCTTAAAAAAACAAAAAAAAAGATAGTTGACAAATAATTTTTTATAATCAAGTTAAAGATCTCTTAAAACCATGCAAAAGTTGTTAAAAACACTTTAAATCGCACCCGCAATAACAGAGTAATCTATACTAATCACGATTCGTGATTCACCCAGTATATAGGGTGTCACAAAAATGTTGGAGTTCCTTGAAAGGGGTGGTTCGGGGGTTTTGAAACAACTTTTTCCTTAGCGAAAATGTTGTTCGAGACTTCGATAAGGAGGTATTAACAGAAAACCCCGACAAATCCGAGCGCCCGCAGTAATATAGGGCGCTCCACCAGCATACTCGCGGTAACATACGAACGTGGCCGCCTAGGGCGTAGCCTATACTACTGCGGTCGCTTCACCGGCAACTCACGTAGATCGTTCGCACACGGGCGCAACTGATCAGTTTCAAACCACTCTGAAACTAAGATTGCATGCGACCGTGGATCTAGGTAAAACAAAGATAGTGGAGCAGGTAAAAGAAAGAGCGCTAGAAAATTCAGATCTTTCGGTACGAGTCTGGCGGCAACGCGCTTCATACCAAAACATCAACCACAATGTGCTGAGTCGACCTATCAGAAATGTTGAGAGTTTCTGCTATCTCTCTAATGCCAACCCGACGATTTCCAAGTACGATTTCCTTCACTTTTTCAATATTATCGTCATTAACAGAGGTGGATGAACGACTCGCATGAGGCAAGTTTTTTACGACTTCACGACCCTCACTGAATGCTTTATGCCACTCAAATACTTGAGTTCTCGATAGGGTAGACTCCCCATAACACTTCTGTAACATTTTCAAAGACTACGTAGTCGTAATTCCATTGGAAACACAAAATTTCAAGCAAACTCATTGTTCCATTTTTTTTCCATAGTAAAAATCGCCAGACAAACTTTTCGCGTCGTACACAAATGGCTGCCTAACTCACAAAAAAAGGACGTATCCCACGCGCACTTCACACGAATGTCAAAGAAAGTTATACCAAACTAGGAAGAAAATATTTTACCGATTCAGTTTACGCGAGCGATTTAAATGGACCAGTCCGGGTCAAATTTGATCAGATGGTACTACTGCGGGCGCTCCACCGGCATACTCGCGGTAGCATACGAGCGCGGCCGTCTAGGGCGTACCTATACTACTGTGGGCGCTCCAATTGGTCGGGGTTTTCTGGTAATATCTCATTAACGAAGCCTCGGACAACATTTTCGCTAAGGAAAAAGTTGTTTCAAATCACCCCCCGAACCAACCTTTTCAAGGACCTCTAAAATTTTTGGGACACTCTGTACATTTGTAATATATCCACAGAATTGGGAACAAGAACACAGAATTTTGACGAACTCGATAAAGATTATACTGAAATCGTTTACCTTCTTATTCAATGGCAAACGTTATTTAATAAAAATGTCACGCAGAGTATGCGGTCATTAATTCGTTTGATATTTGCTCGATGCTCACCATATAATTATCAGTGTGCTTCCCTCGCAGTAGCGTGGTTGCGTGTTCAAGGACTCCTTGGGCGTCCTCTCTGTACCAAAGCGCAATGATCCTTTGGGTGACGTAACAAAACTCCGTCACTTCCGTGACGCGACCTCCACCCTTTCCTGATCCTGTCGTCGTCGCGTCCGCGCCGACGCCTGGCGTCCTCGCGGGTGTCGTCGCCGACGAGGACGTCTGCATCTGGAACAACAACGTCCATAATTAATGGAACTGATATTCCCAACGGAGGTTCAATCTACTCCTGTCGCGACTTCTGGACCACGACCAAACTCTCCCAGGTCGCTACGTGCCTCTAATACGCGATCAACCTTTATCAATCTTATTAGATTAGTTTCAGTCAAGTGGAGCAGATATATTAGATAGATTGTTCCAAATATTCTCTGGTTTTGATTATTGTTGTTAGTCATGGATCATTTATTTCTTACCGAAGTGGTTTTGATTCATCGTGGTCTCACTTCAGTAGTGTTCTACAATAACTAGTGGTCAAAGTATTTATTTAATTGTTTAAATTTCATGTAAGCAACATATACATCCCATATACTTTTAGTTAAACATAATAATGCTAAAAATTGTGTTGCCTCAATTATAGTATTTCGCATGACAGAGATAATTGGCTCCGTTTATACATAATTCTTCCACGTATCTTAATTTATCAAATTCAATTATGACATTACCATGTTTTGAAGGTGATTCTGAAACTAGAAGTCGAAATGTAAGTAACTAAAACGTTATTTAAAAGAACAAAACGTATTATCCTCTAACGTAATACGTCACAGTGTAGTTCAACTGTAAAAATATTTCCTCGTTATTATATATTACGTTAAATTAACAATCTCCTAAGTTCTTAACCGACACTACATTACAATGAATCTATATGAGTACATAAACTTAGTCTCAACCTGATGGTCATTAGAATGTATGTACATATACGAAGTTCAGTAGCCAATATGTTTTACTAATCGTTGCTTTTGTAACAGATTATAAATGTACTTGACAATTATTAGGTGTAGAAATTAATTCCCTTGCATTCAATTATTTCTAAGTCTAATTTAAAAAGAAACATTTACCTGCCGTTTTGTTGCATTGAAGTACCAACGTACACAGTAATGAAACACACAGATTCTTTCGACATTTGATCGTACAACTATGTGTGCTTTCTTGGAATGTGCGATGAAGGGAAAATTACAAATGGTATGATTTTTCTTTTTAAACAAATGGTACGTTTACCTTGGCGTGGAACAGGATTAATTTCTACACTTAACATTATTTATCATCGTCGTCCATTACTGGAACGAAATTCTACTTGTTGCTCGGAATAAGTACACGTCTCCATAGAGAATGAACCTTGGTGAACTTTGGTGCGTAGACAATCCTGACGACGAAAGTGTCCGGCATGGCGGTGCCCTTATGGGAGCCGCGGTATCAGCACGAGTCGTCATGAAATCTTGACGTTTTAACGCGAACGCCGCGATTATCCTAATAGGGAAGCCGACAGAGGTGAGACACGAAGACGACTCGCCACGACGGAATGACGGACTGCCTGGTATTGTGTATCGCTCGGTTCAGCGAGACTAGTGAATATCTAATGGTCACTAGTCTTGTCCGACGTTTGTACTGCGTTTCTTCTTTGTACATCTGACGTGCACGTCTCCTCCCTCCACGCCGGCGTCGACGAGTGTATGGACGATTTCTGTATGCGCGTGTGACGTAACGAATTCGTCCAGGTAGCGTGACTTCGGTTCAAGTCACGCTTCGTCATTAGACGCGAGACGCATTAGTTGCGCGGATGAAGCGAGGCGGTGTGTTCTCCATGGAGAACGCGATAAGCAACGTGCGTAAGTAATTCGACTTCAAGGGCGACGCGAAAAAATCGCGACGACCAAGAGATACGCATAGGTTTCCTGTCGGTAAATTGCGCCGCGTTTTCCTGTTAAGATTGGTTAGCGTCGAACAGCGTTTCTTCGGGACGAGCAGGAACGGAAATGACCGACGACTTTGAAGCGTTAACGAGAAATGTTTGAAGAAATCCTTCGACGCTCCTTGTTATATGAGGTGAGAAACAGAAAACATCAAGGAGGATAGCGTGGTACTGTCCAAAGAAGTCAATATCGTGGTACAAACGAATCCCCTGTTCGACGATATCTTCAAAATTATTTAAGGGATAACGGTGTTTTTGTTTCTAAATCGCACAACATATTTTTAACTCCGTATCTCCTCTTGAGATGTAAAGCAACGAAAACGCCAACACTCTAATTTTGTAACCGCTGTTGCGTCTTTGTCCTCAGGGTGATTCAAGACATAGAGAAATGCAGAAATAAGAGCGAAGAGAATAGCACTTGTTTACAACAGCCACGAAACTTAAATGCACGAAATTGATGCGCCTCGGAAAAGCTATGGAGCGTCCGAAAAATTGATTGATCTCTGTAATGGGGTCGAGGAACTTTCCAAAAGAATAGACGGAAGACACAGTGCCAATGATTTATTTAAAAATTACAGGACTTCATTCAGCGCAAAACAAGAAGACTACAAATTTGTCACACAGTAGAGCATTCACGACACCAGAGGCACTCTTTTCAACGACCTACGAGACTCCATTTTTCGAACTTCAATTACCATTTCGTTCTGGGTGGCAGGTAGTCATTTAAGAAAACGTGCTTCGTTTAATCACAGAATCGGGTACGGAAATTTCATCTGTCAATTTTTTCACTGATAACGGAAATGTTATCCACGCCATATATGTGCGTTTCTCGTCGAAAACTGCGATTATCCGAAATGAAATTCGTTGGAATGAAGAAACAATTTTATCTGAGACAAATTTGTTTATCACATATTAATCACCTTAGTACTGTTACAAAAAATCCCTGCGGATAATAAAATTAAAAGGAATAGTATCTCAGATTCTATTACACTGACAAAATCTTTTTAAAATTCATAATTTTGATAATAATGGAAGAAATGTCATTGTTCGTGTAATTGTATATATTTGCTGTTTCACGAAAATAGGTATACATGACAAAAATACATGAAAAGTTACATACAGGAAGAAATTACACACAGATCAGGTTGTCTGTTAAGATTAATATGTATATACATCATTATTTATAATACATAGTTTGTAATGTGGTTTTCACCGAGAAAGAAAATTGTATTGATTTAATAAATTATCCTTAAAAAGCATACAAAACTACTAACCCCTATTGTATTCATTCTTTTATACCTACTCAAATTTTAAAGATATATTAATAAATATAGAAACATATATAAGGTGTGTTCTCACTCTGAAGTAACGAATTAGAACCGATAATAAATGGAGCACTAAGCTTCTCTTAAGGGCCCCAACAAATTTACACAATTTCAAAAAAGTCCAAATTTTCGGGATACTGATTTCTCCTGTTACCTATAAGCCTTTGGATAGTAAAATATCGTCGAAGTTTCTAGCTTGAGCATTCCACGAAAATGTGTGGATGCTACTAGACTCTTACGGCGGGTGTCCACCTAAGAGTTTTGTTATCAATACTAAGACTCTCCAGTGGACGTACTTAGAGTAAGGATTCTTTCACACGAGTATCTATTCCAGTACGAAAACTGTCGTTCGTTCGAGAGACTCTCATTCTTGATATCGATTCAAGAGTAAAACTTTAAAGTGGACATCAGCCATGGACAAGCGTGAGAAACGCGAAGACCACCGCGGCGTAGTGGGCAGTCCAAGCTTCCATGGAACGACAGCTGCGGTAGGACCGCGGAGGGTAATAGCAATTTCACACGTGAGACTAACGGTGGAAGGGATTTATGGCCGTAGCAGACCGCGACGTATGAGCGAGCTTAGGCCGGCTGCAGCCGCGAGACGCAGCCCGTCGCGTTATGATCCCCTTAAACGTATTTTTAGAGACGCTAGTCTCCTTCTCGTTCGAATCCTCGCTTCTAATATGCGTTCGTCCTTCTCGGGCCGAACTGTCGGTGGCTTGAAGCCTTTTTTGCCGACACCCAGCCGTGGTATCGTTAAATTTTCAATTTACACCGGCGACACGGCCGCGTGGGCGGAAATCGTTCCGAGATTCATGAGGGTTGAACGAATATTGCGCGGGGTGGAGAGGACCGCCGTTCCTGAGAATTGGATCAGTGTCGTACTCGCGAAACTAAAACGAAGGTAGCTACAAAATCGCTAGAAGTTCGGCTTGAGTCGAAACTTAAATAGTTGGTCGCCGGTACCGAGGAAGTACTTCGAGTCGTTACACAACATCAAAACTCTATCATGCATTGTAAAACACGCGATACTGACTTCAGCGATGGATTAGAAATACGAAAGCAACGGAGTTACATATAAATGTGAATCATATATGACGTTGTTTTAAAGTTATAACCACTGATAATTCCTAATCCTAGACTGAGTACATGTAACTGACTCAAGCACATCATCTTAATACAATGCTTGATAAATCCTTGATATCTCTTAATCTTCTTCCCCATTGTCATGTATAGATCAGTCACGTTCATTCTTGCGATATGTCGCTAATTTGGCGTGCGTTACAACTGATAACGAATAAATGTTGAATTCTTTATATGTGAGCGCTTTTTGGTCCTGATATAAGTACGAATTGAAAAATCCTTAACTAATTTGCGAACTAAGACTTCGTTATCGTAATATATATATATATATATATATATATATATATATATATCAGGGCTGGATATGACAACCCGAAAGGCAGATAGACGAAATTTCATTGTTGCACTACATGCGAAGAAAATCGAATGTTCCGTAAAATTTAATGTTTATCAAATTTAAATGACTATTTTTGTTTAGCAAGGGACTTTGCACGTCGTACATAAACTACAAACGATAACTACTGGCTACGCCATTAACAGGACGCAATTAATCTAGGGGCGCCGAGAATGTCGCGCCGGTAATGTCAATTATCGTTAATCCGCGTAATTGCCGGCGGCTAATTTCTAATTGGAAGTATAGTGCTAAGCGAGAGTGGGTTTTATCGTTATCGACTTCTTTCCGCCCGACGTGCACTCTGGATGCCAACATATGGCCTGGGTTTAATCGATAGTGGGACATTTTCGTTACGAGAGATCCTTGAATAAGTATCACTTGCATCCTTCCGGTTCCTAAACTACTTTGTTACGATCAAGTATACTCTTTTCAAAACTTCGTTAATGACAATTACATTCTT